AGGATGGAGGTGTGGGCGGTAGTTGCGTCTGGGCCCATAACTAACATTTGTGCAGACATGGTGTTGGTGGCCAGCAATGATAGGAACCGGAGAGGGTAGTGCACAAGTCGATCAGCATTAAGCTGGGCATCTGCCTTCTATCTTTACTTTGCTTCTACTCGCTCGCTTTAAGTACCCGCTTTCGGTCGCCCAACCAGCCTCCCTCATGCCTGAAGGTGGCTGGTTTCTTCCTTCGCTCGCGCGCCTTTTCGCTTCTCGCTGATGTCGCGTTTGCTGTAGTCTGACTGCCATTGTCAGCTCATCAACTCTCCCTTCTCGCCCCTTCGTGTTTCCACATCGCCGTGCCTACGTTCGCCCTTGCAAGGGCTCCGGTAGGCCCTATTGCATTGCTCCCGCTGCGTCCTTCCCGTATGCTGTGGGGCTTGCTTTGCTGACGGTCGGCAACTGCCGTCACCTACCATGCTCGAATTCGTCCGATTGTCCCGGATGCCGTCGTGCTCATCCGCCGATGAGCACGGTTATGCGTGCGCCCCTCTGCGTGTCTGCGGACGTTGAGTTGACCTACGAAGGGTCGCAAGGAAGGTTGCAATGAGTCGTAAAATCACAACTGTACAGTACAACTGTTCTACCTTCATCAATAAAACAATAACTGCACATACGCTACCACACACTACTGTACACTACTTACTTCTAAATGGACACCAAACCTCTTCTGCCCTTTAACCGTGCTGCTGTACAAAGCCGTACAGTGATGCCGCGCGCAACTACCCAACTGCCTCCAGAGAGACTACGTTTTATAAACAACGCTTACATCTCAATCCCGTCAACATGACATCTTATCTATCGGAGACCGTGTATCACACTTCTGTATAAACGCGTGTCAACAATCACACTTCCAACTCGCCCACGTCTTGCTTTCAACCACTTGCCGCCCTTTTCGCATGACACACCAAAAACTCTCTCCCACTATGCGGCACCACGAGCAATAATTGCTTGTTCTTCAACTACTGTGCGAAGAAAATTCCCGCTGCCGTAGTAATGTTACAGAGCTTGAGACCTACGGTACACAAGGGCAACGACGCAACGACGCAAATGAAGACAGGATCAGAGTGGAAGAGGGCCGCAATCGTTTTTCCAATCATGTACATTTTTTATTTTATTTGTACAGTATACTGTACCCTTCAAGGGTAGGCGCATCTACTACAATCATTGCTGTTTTCCAGCACCCTGACATTTGGCATGAATGGATTGGTTGAACGGGAGTAAAAGCATTTCCAATAATTTTTTCAACCAATACATTCATGCCAAGTTTCAGGGTGCTCGGGTGCTGGCACGGCGAACTCTTCGTTAGGAACGGCCCTCAGCTGCACAAAAAGGTATCCAAAAAGCCAGCCTCCCTCAAATCGCCCCAAAACAATGACCTACTCAACATACCGTACACCAGTTTCAGGTCACGAAATTGCATCCATCCTTGATTCCCCGGTCTGGTGCCGCAGAAAACTGCTTCTAACAAAGCCACAAATGTGCCGTTGCGCATGATGTTATTATTCTCTCACCTTCACGCAGCGAGTCCCGTAAACTGGCCTGGGAATGAAACCACAATGTACCAAGGGTACTGTACAAAACTTGTACGTGCATGAGACTGTGATATCTCGCACTGCCTCCAACGCTCAACACCATTGCCCAACAGAGGCCGCGTGCCGCACGTTGCGAAAATGCCTGCCCTGTCGACACAGGAGACAGTCTCCTGTGTCGACACTTGCCCTTGCATCGAGGGGGGCGAAGACACGTCAACATTGTGATTCGCATCCTGTCGCATCTCGTCGCAGTCAAACCTCGCGCAAGTGTCTTTTCGAAACGGGATACAGCACAGCATGACTCGCCCGTGTGGGGCGAGTCCCTGAGGGGCAAGTCATGCTGTGCTGTATCCCATCACCATAACTTTCGGAAAGCCACAGCTTTCCAAAAGCCATGCTGGAGGCACCTTCTGTTTCGCTGCGAGTTCCATGTGCCAACTCCAGCTCGCGATGACGAACCAAAACTGCGAGCCCAGCCTTGGTTTCACATTATGAACGCGGGCACACGTGTACGACCCGGCGCCCGGCAGTGCGTGCGCGCCGGCCCCTTCCTGGTGCATCCAATACGGTGCATCGCCCAATATCTCTGTTTTCGCCCACCGATTGACCAACCGGCCCCGACTCCGGCTCCTTCGAGTTCAACCGCAAAAGCGAGCCCCTTCCCCTGCCCACGCGTCTCACCTCCCACGCCTTACTACACGGCGCACCCGCTCGCAGTCAACTCCACTTTGTAGAACGGGCCGTGTGCTCAAGGCGATGTCCGTTTCTGAGAGTCGGAAGATGATGAGTCGTCAACGGCCATACTGTACTACTGTAGTTTGGGCTGTACGAAATTTCACACGAGGATGGGTTGAAGCGCCTTCCAGGCTGATTATGACATCGAGAAGGCCTGCTGCACACGGCTTATGAAAACTCGTGGTTTAATTTCCAGTTTTATAATTTACTTTGGGACCAACCAGTTTTGGTTTCTGCAACCAAAAACACGTGTTTACTTGGCGGACAACGTTACTATATTTATTTATTTCCAATTTTCAAGGGGGGCCGATGCTATAATCACAGAACGGGCTTCAAGGACTCACACACTTGGATCATTCGTGTAACACGTCGTCTACGTGTACTATTTTACACGTGTACGGGACGACGGCGGTTGATCTGACATTGGTATAAAAAGCCAATTCGGCCCCAATCGCACTTAGGACCGCAACTGCCCAGGTGGCTTGTCGTGGAAGTCTTCATGTTAGCTTTCTCTGGCACGGATGATCCATCTGCGATTGTGAATTACCGGACAACACCCCGAACGCATGTCGCCTGGTGAAGACAGTATTCAGGAAGCAAGCCTGCGCACAGACTTGTTGCACTTTCGTGCGTCCCCTCATCGCAATCGCGTTCTCGCGATTTTGTAGATTAGATTCAGCGTACTCACACAGGTAGTCCAAAGGATTCCGGGAATGACGATGATACACGGTTGTGGTTCTGTACACAGCTCGTTGAAAGCAGACGATGCTCTGGAGAAAGACCAATCAAACAATTACATATTGTATCTGACCCGAATCCAACGTAAAGTGCGAGTGCTATTCACGTACTATCTGGGCGTCTGTCAGGCACTAGGATGGGAGCACCGAATAAGTTAAAAGATATGCTGCCGCAGTTTCCGACAGGAAGAACCTCTGTCAAAATGTACCCAGCTTCTCCCTCCCTTTAAAGAGAACGGCGCCTCTGTCCTACTGCCGCACGCTCACATGGTGCGAAGCGAGACGTTGGAACTGGGTTTCTGATCACCTGGACTGTGCAATAGTGTCCCTTGTCTTCGTATACGTAAAAGAGAATCACAAACAAAGGCTGCGCCATTGCATTCAACGATGGATAGCAAACGCTGATTCTTTTTTCAGCCTGCTCACCGTGTTTATGTGACTTTGATGTATGGTATGCGACTCCGATTCTAATTTCCGTTGAGTGCTTGTCGCGGGAAAAAACACATGCCTCCGTTTTTCAGGCGATCATTGCATGCCAACGAAGCCTCCGGTAAGCGTCGTCGCATAGAGTTCAAAAAAATCGTGGTTCAGTTTTCAGTATGAACTACGCCCGTCTCACAAAAGGGATAGCCTTCTGTGAACCAAAGCTAGACTCTACTTTCCTTGGCGAAGATAAAAAGATCTCTTTAGGTTGTAGCTTCCCGAAGGCAGAAAACCGACAGGGGAAACATTATTTTGATGCACGTGAACAAAAGGAATACTCTTGTGGAGGGTCGAACTCCAGACCTCCAGCATGTTAGGCTGGCGCTCTAACCAACTGAGCTACAAGAGCTGATTGGTGACTCAGCGGGAGTTCCCTGTGAATTTGAACCACTACAAGTTATTCTTGGATCCGGATTAAACGATCCGGATCTTTTAATCCGGACCAAACCCTTAATGCATTGAATAAAACCACCCGTTCCAATCCGGATTATAGAATCTACAGCAATGCTCGAGACTCTCTATTGCACTCCCCAAATAGACGAAAAGACATAATGTTGCGTTTAGGGGGCGATCAGGTGCATTTTGGTGGCAACAGACGGGTGAAATCGGAAAAGTTGTAGCGAACAGTGGGTGACGGTGGTAACTTTGCAAGAAGTACCCATCCGATAGCGGTTCATTTGTAAGGATCACTATGGTGACCATATCAAGTCTGAGGTGACAGGAAAGGAATTTGTAGGTAAAGAGGGGCGTCAACAGTTGAAAATCGTGGACAGTGCAATAAAGTGTACTAACGGGTGACCTCGGATACTACGGCGGTACTGATGGATGGGCTACTCTGCGGTATCCCCAAATACCTGCTTCAGAGAGCAGTCATTCACTGTGTGATCCGACATCCGACACAAGGAACAGGAGTACACCCGCTTCTTCTTTGCGGCTTACCTTTTGCAGCTGCAATCGCGACCATTGCGTTTACACGTGAAATCAAGAAATCATGCCTACACCCGCCGAACCGTGTACCTGTGGATAAACGCGGAACCCCATGTGCGCGCCCTATCTGCATGATTGAATCCCCCAGTTTAACTGACTACAGTAATCAGCTAATGCTTGTTCGATAGAGCCAACTCAGCCAGTCACCCATTTAGCTTGGCCTGAGCAGCGCCGTCTGTTACAGCTTTGCGTTTGCCACTAGTCTCCCGGATGCAGGGTCTAATACTAGCACGAATGTTGACCGCTACCTGATCCTGATGTCCATAGGATGGGCTACAGTAGCACAGCGTCTTAATACTCAAACTGATAAAAACAGCGAGCAGCGTGTCTCTCTGTGTAGCCCCCACAGACATACCTGGAAATGACGTGCCTGAGGGTACAGTGTGTCACGGTTAAAGGAAACCACATCTAACAAAACTTGGATCCCCGCTATTTTGCTGCCAAGCTGCTCACCGCCTTCGTGAAATACAGAGCGTAGGGTATTCAATCTCGTTTCTTTATTCTGAAACAGAAATATCTTCACTTAGACATAGCTCCAGCGATGTCATGAATGCCGCCTACGGGATACATTGGACAAGATCTTCGAAAAGCTATTGGATTTCCAACATCGAGTGCTCCTTCTGGCACTGGTTTTTTGTTAGCAATAGGGTGCTGGCTTCCAAAGACTTGAGAAACGAGTCGTCTTCTCGACTTTCCACCAACGGCTATGTGTGCATCGAAGAAGTCGACCACGTCAGCTTTCGAAATAGTACCCAACGCCTCGATTTCCTTTGGAATCCGGTCATACTCTCGATACCCCTGTTCAAGTTCTTTCCAGAATCTCCACGTCCGCACATATAACCTCCTGTCTGGTTCAGCCTTAGAGGCGACAAGTGCTCTCACGTAATCCTGGAAGTTGTCTTCAGTCATGGGGTCAAAAATCTCCTTGTGCGCCTCAGAAAGTAATTTGTCGATTCGTGAGAGAAGCTCATCAGGGTCTGCTACAGTAGACTGCACGATGATGTAGATTCCGCTTACACTCTCGACAAGGCCACGGCCCTCAAAAACACAGTATCCCAGTTGTTGGACTGTGCGAAGTTCATGGAAGACCGGTTTGTTCAAAATGTCACTGAGCAATTCTACAATGACGTCTTTCACAATATCTTCTCGAGGTCCTATCGGGAAGAACACGTCGATTGCAGAGTTGTTATCTTCAGGGTTTGGATGAATGTTCCTCGTGAAGATGTCTTTTCCAATCGGAACCTGGACAACTCGGCGATGAAGTTGTTCAATGTCTGGGACTGGACTGTAGCCGATGACGGTCTGCACAGACTTCAGCATTTCAATCGTCTTTTGTTCGCTAATGTTTCCAGAGACTAGAGAAGTGATAAACATGTGACTGAGAATGTCTTTCGAAAACTGAGTCAGTGACTTCAAGTTCACAGAGCCATCCGAGAGGACCTTCAAGTAATCAGACACATGCCATCTTGGATCCTCCATGAGATAATTTATGTTGTACATTGCCATACTGTATGGTTGTCTTTTTCCATAATTGATGTAATCTCGTTCCACATTGTCACGGATCATATCAAACCTGGTTGCATCCGCCTCAAAAGTGTTCATCTTTTTCACAATCGCAGCCAGAAGAACGTCAATGCGGTGGCTATATCCTTGAACAAACAACTTGATCCCGTTTGTGTCTTGTGATATAGAATACATGAAGCCCGCCTTCTCAGCGGCGTACGTGTACTCCGTCAACGCGTCCTCCAAAAGATATGTAAAAATGTTACACATCACTGAATGCCAGGGACTCCTGTACGCAAGCGGTGTCCTCATTGACAATATCACTGTCGCCTTTGGTCTCTTAAACGTGCGGTCTAGTTTGTAATGAACTTCCATGTAATCATCGCGAAGAATCTCGGCAGGGCCCTCAACATCGTCCTCACCGTCCGGCAGGGGCTCCACAATAAGATCAAATTCTGTGGGAATGAATGGGTTGGGCGCCGGTAGATGTATCTCAGTACTTGACTTGCGGTCTGTCCACTGACGATGTCTTTCTTCTTTCACACTCTCAACATGGTATGGGGTTTCGTACCATCGCTCCTTCCGAGTAACCTTGTCCGATACAAATTTTCCAGCTATCGTGATGTTCCCATTCTCAGGTGTCAAGCAGCTCAGCACTTCTTGGATTTTCTCGATATTAAACTCTTTGTACAAGTATTGGCCAGAAAGATACTCGGCCGGCGGCAAGTTGTGCATGTAAGAGGCCATTTCCGATACCAAATGGATTGCGGGACCCCTTTCACGGAAGCGAAACGAGGTTTCTGCCAGAGTTGCTTCCTCCGTAAACAGCCATTCTTGATTTTTGCATTCCCGTACGAGTCGAAGGTAATCATACAGAACGCCTAGAATGTCATCGACATGCTCGACACCTTCTTTTGTGAGAGTTAGGGAAACTTGGACCACCCCAAACGTCATCTGATCAAAAGCCCCAGCCGCCAAAGTATCGGCCCAACCCTTGGCCTTCAGCGCACTCAAAAGGCTTCCATCGCCTTCTTCGCCCAGCAAGCCACCCACATAACGAGCTGGCTTGCTTCTATAAGAATCCAAATATGTCGGGGTGGGCCAAGTGATTTCTAACTGCCTCATCTCCTGAATGGACTCCATGTGGAACTCCACACCGCGATGCTCAGGTAACAAGTGGTCGATATCTCTGTACTCTTCGCAGGGATTGGGGGCGTTGTGGTTCGGAATACCTGAAAACATCTCAGCCACCCACAATTGAAGTTCGTCGAGGTCAAAGGGCCCGACGACGCTGAGACACATTAGATTAGCGGAGTAATACTTCTTGTAAAATTTGAGCAATTCGGCCCTCGTGTCGATACCAGATTCCCTTGGAGTATCCCAGAGCGTCTCCATCGACCCAGTTCCAAACTTGGAGTAGGGATGCTTCGGGTTGCAGTTTGTTTTCTTGAGCTGGTACATGCGTCTAGCGTCGTTCTGCAAATTCTTCTGATGCTCCGAGTGGACGGCGTTCAATTCGCGCTCTGTGGCCGATTCCGTGAACAAAGGCGAGGTGAAAAACTGGGAGAATCGGTCAAGAGCTTCTCTAAAACGGGGGGTAGAATCCCTCGTTTCGCTCTGAGCCTCGCTCTCTTTTGAGACCATCTCGAAATGAAAGTTGGTGCTCTCCGCAGATGTGTATGCATTGCTATGCCCCCCATTCTCAGCGAGAAACTTGTTGTACGAGCCCTCCTCGGGATATTTTTCAGTCCCTAGGAAAAGCATATGCTCCAGAAAATGGGCAAGGCCAGGCAGCTCGTCCGGATCTGAAAAATGGCCGACGGCGACGTCAAGGGCGGCGGCGGCCTTATCAGATCGCTCATCGGATATCAAAAGGACGTTGAGCTTGTTTGGTAAAGTGATTGCTCGATAGGATCGCTCATCCAAAGGGCTCACTTCGAGGGGAGGGTTGACGACGACGTTCGCGATCGCGTCCTCAAGCCTCTGGGTTGCCATAGCTTGAGGAAGGCGGGCTCTCATACGATTTGACAAGGGGTACAAAGTAGCGAGAAAGCAGAGATGAGGGAAAAGAAGTGGTCGAGTCGGGGTGAACAGGTGGAATGTGTTATATAGCCTGGAATGTAGCAACCGAGTTTCATACGAAGAAAGCTGGCTTCGATGACAAGGAACATCAAAAGAGCGCAAATATTGCTGTATTGTATCATCATGCAGTTTGAGATCAGCAAAGCAACGAAAGTCTAACTGACTCGGAAAGAGCACTGAAATGCAGGGTTCGGTACACTGTAGTGTGCATACGTGTAATTCAAAACCAACGTAAACGTAACAAAAATTGAGAGATCAAACATCTCTCCAGATGACCAACTTGCACGCATACCCTGGTCGTTTTCTCTGTCTTGCCACGACACTTTGATGAGTTTCATTGGCAGGCAACAGACTTTTTGGGCAGGAAGCGGTAAATCTGCGCATAAACAGAGTCGCTGTATAACCAGGGTCCACTCAAGAGAGGCTCAGCTAGCAATCCTTAAACGCATACAATTCCAAAACGGAAAGATACAAAAGCAAATGCATATGCAGTATTCACATAACGAACAAAAGGAACCAAGCATGTAAGGGACACAATCCGCATAAAATCATTACTTGCAAGAGATATTACGAACTAGTCGGGACGGGGCCCTTGTTTCACGAAACCAGTGAAGAGATCGGAAAGCACAGGAAAGAGAAGCATGAGAGGCCTCGGCTTGACGACTGAGTTCAACAAGGACTGTACCGCTAGCTCGTACCGCTTTCCACCGGTCCCAGCTGTGTCGTGCTGTATGTACGCGAAAGAAGCATAGGAGTGGTCATTCATGACAAACACGTGTGTTTCTCTATCCTTTATAACTGGCGAATATACGTGCCGTTTCAAAAGTGTAGGAATCACCGACGCATCGTAGACTGGGCTGTAGAGCGCAACGCGAGGACAGAAATGTGGAACTCTGTCTTGCTTCCACAGCGCCAACGACATTACCGGCTACCTTCTACCTTTCCATGTCGAGGCGAGTGAGGGCCAGAACATGAATAGAGAGTCCCATGAACAAATCGTTCATTCAGCCTAGTCATCATGCATGACATTCTAAGCCTCGCAATGTTTTTGTCACGCCTTTCGGATTAGACCACAGACGGCAACATCGGAGAAGCATCAAATGAGCACGTCTCTGGGCTCTCGGGCTGTAAACAACCAAGCGTGGATGTCAAAATGCCATTCATCATCATGCCCTGGCAGTCTACTGTACGAACCGTGAATTACGCATTGAGTCATAGGTCGCAGAATCCAATCCTGGCCGGGTGCTCGCATGTTGTATATTTCGTTTTGTCAGGCCCTTCCAGGTGCACACGGTTTGTGGCGGTGCATGACAGCAAACATGGCGAGGAAAGGTTGAACTTTACACGGGATATGAGGTGGCTAGCGTGCACGGCTCAACAGGTCTCGCCAGTGCTCTTTGTCGTCTTGCCCTGTTGGCATATCCAAAACACCGAAAGCATGTGCTGTGCGGCACAGCACATGCTTCAAGGCACAGGCTGTGCCCGGCACAGCCTGTGCCTTGACCCGAAATTTCTGTCTGAATTATCAACAGTGTTTGATGAGACACATGTGCCGCATAGTACTGTATGCTTCTTGTACACGTGTAAGAACCACTTTTCCTTTCAACCACTCCCAGCGAAGCATGCGAATGTCTCTCTCCGCTTACTGATCGCCTTGCTGGAGGCGTGCGCACGACACTCGCGGATCGCATTTTGAGGAAGGGATATCCCTTCTCGCTGCGCACTCCAGCTACTAATTCCGCCCCCCCCCCCCCCCCCCCCTTGCCAACGCCGAGCACCCAACTGTCCACCTGCGCATTGATCACTTGTCTCAGCCCGGGCATCGACAAAGCATTGACGACAAGCCTCGTCCGCCTGATCCGCGCCGGCACCGGCATCTTGCGTCACGCACGCGATGTCCTCCCGTGTGATCACGATCTTCGGCGGGACGGGTTTCATTGGGCGAGAGGTACTCCGCCGCCTGTCGCGTTCGGCGGCCGCGTCCTCGCTCCGCGTGCGCGTGGCGGCGCCCAGCGGCACGGTTCCCCTCTCGCTCCAGCATGTCACCAAGCGCCTCGACGACATAAGCGCGGTCCGCTGCGACATCTCGGATGGCGCGCAGGTGGCTGCCGCGTTGCAAGGCGCGAGCCACGTCGTCAACTGCGTAGGAATTCTGTACGAAACGCCGGCAAAGGGAGTCACGTTCCGCGCCTTGCAGCAGCAAGGCCCGGCTGCCATCGCCGATGCCGTGTCGAGTGCGGCCAAGGATGTGGAGCAGGTCGTGCACATATCCGCTATCGGGGCCGACGAAAAGTCCAAGAGCGGGTACGCGCGAACAAAGGCGGGTGGCGAGCAGGAGATGAAGCGGATTGCGAACGGCGGACATGCGCGCGTGACGGTGCTGCGACCATCGATCGTGTTTGGGCCGGAAGACTCGTTTTTCAACCGTTTCAACCAGCTGTCCAAATTCCTTCCATTTCTGCCGCTGGTGGGCGGCGGGACGACCAAATACCAGCCCGTGCACGTGAGCGACGTGGCCGAGGCGGTGGTGCGAGCGCTGGACGTCGAAAAGGAGGCGCGGGTAGAACATACGACGGGAACGACTTACGAGCTGGGGGGGCAGACGGTTCTGACATTTAAAGATTTGATGCGAATGGTGCTTAAAGTGACGAGGCGTCGCAGATTACTGATGCCTGTTCCTTACGCGGTGGCGCAGGTGCAGGGCGGGGCGTTCGAGGTGATGCACCGGTTGGTGCCGTCGATCCCGCCCATGCTGACGAGAGACCAGGTCGAGCTGCTCAAGTCGGACAATGTGGTTTCGGCAGGCGCCAAGACGTTTTTCGACCTTGGCGTCGAGCCGCGCGGATGCACGGTGGACGAGATCTCCTATATACGGTAGCAGTGTGCAGTACAGTAGAAAGATTGAGAAATGCGACAAGCAGTGGGGACACAAATGTGTAATCAGGTGTAGCGCAGAATGCGAAAGTCAGGCTCGTAAATGGCGCGCACTTTAGCGCGCAGGTCGTTATCATAGAGCTCGTCGGCAAGCGTTGGCGAGGCGCCAGACGGCGGGAAGCCAATCTGGTTCTGAGTCGGAAAGCGATTGCCCACGCGGCCAAGTCTGCGAAAGACATAGTCGACGTCCTGCTTCAAGTTTTCCATGCGTCCAACAAAGTCATACGGCAAGACGCCAATGGCACAATAGGCGGTCTGCGGCATCCAGTGAGCGTTCATGTCCTGCACGGGCATATCCGCGACGGCTTGGACAAAGTGGGCAAAGGTCAAGCGCGGGTCGCGCTCCACGTCGACGTCCCTGGCAAAGGTCCAGCCCTTGAGTGCTGCCAGGAAGGTGCGGTACTCGGCGCGGACGTATTCCGGGTCTGTATTGCGAAACTTGTCCATATAACACGAGAGCAGCCTCGCGTACGGCTCCCTGACGAAGACGAAGCGGAAGTAGGTGGGGTCACGCAGGATAGCTTCGGCCTCCGCGGGTGCGTAGTCGGCGAGGTAGCGCAGGCCCGACGTGGCCGGGCGGTGCGCGCGCGACAGGTTGGCAAAGTCCGGCACGCGCTCCCACCGGCGGATGAGGTACTTCCAGTTGCTGCTTGCGGCCTTGGGCACCGGGCAGAAGACGAGGCGCGCCACCTCGGACACGATGATGTGCGGCGGCGGGCGCGCCAGCAGGGCGGCCAGCGGCTTGTCCTCCCCGCGCGGCGCGACCGCCAGAAGCAGCGCGATGCCCGCCAGGCTCGCCGCCTGCAACAGACGCGACGCGGTGCGCCCCCGCTGCACGCGGAGCTTCAGCGGCTCGCGCGCTCGCGGGAAGGGCATCGCGACGGCCGCGCGGGGGGGCGCGGGGGGGAAGATGTGCGAAGCGCGCGCGGCGCTCGGCGCGAGGTTGTGTGTGCGGATATATGCGTCCGGTGTCGCGGAAAACGCGCAACGGGCGCGTGGCGGGGCGCGTGGCGTTTCCGGACAGACGCCGAATCGAAACAGGGCCGCGCATCGGGCCGTGTGGGCCACCCTCTGCGAGGGTTTTCGTTTGGGTTTATTTAATAAATAATCCATGTTTCAAGGGCGGGCCGATGCTACATGACAGGACGGGCGTCAAGGCGTGAGAGAGACTTGGGTGGGACTTTGAATTCATGCTTTTGCTCCATGCGCGCTTCTCCTGACACGTGCGCGGGGGAAGAGCCTCCCCTTGAACGTTGGATACTTGTACAGTATACCCTTCCCGGAGGGCTGGCTTAATTTGGGACACATTTGTGGTGAATCGATGGGGGTCTTAGCTCTGTTGTAAATCAAGCCAAGGATGCAATAAATAAGGCGGTCCCGCACTGCGCGGCACGCGGAACAAAATCCTAAAAAATATATATATCAATAAAACCGCGGCCTACAGTGACGCGGCAGACAGTGACACGCCCTTCGGTCAACAACGAATCGCGGCGGCGCGTTCGGAAACCGCCTTCGACCCCTTCGGGAAGCGGCCCGCGGTGACGTGTTCGCCGCGTGTCGCGCGTGCACGCGCGCGCGGGAGCTTGCTCGCAACCTCCCGCTCGCAACCTCCCGCAGCTCGCACGAGCCGCGCCGCGGGGGCCGGCGCAGCCGTTGCGCGGGGCGCGCGTCGACGCCTTGCGCCGCACCGCGCACAACGCCCGGCACACTGTCTGCATTCTGCGGCATGTGCGCCCCCGACGTGTCCGCCTGCGTCATCTTTCACGCGCGCCAGCCCCACTCACGCGCGCCCGCGCTCCGCCGCGGAGCCAGTCGCTTCGCCGCACGCCGGGCGCGGCGCGGCGCGCCGCCCCGCCTCGCCGCGCGTAATGCACTCGCCGCCGCCGCCGCCCGCGGCTCCGCATATAGAGGCGCGCGCCGCCGCCGTTCCGGAAGCACACGCAGCCGCCACCGTCCACGAGACGCGCGCCCGCTCGCAACGACCCCACGCACGCGCGCAGCCTCTCTCCGCGGCAAAAACTCCACGCCAATGTCCCCCCTCGGCACGCGCGCGGCCGCGCCGCTCGTGCTTCTGGTACTGAGAGGACT